TCAAGATTGGTAGATACTGACAGGTATATATAGAATAGATAAACAAGTTTATACTGTATAGCACAGGGAAATATATTCAAGATCTTGTAGTAGATCACAGTGAAAAAGGATATGAAAATGAATATAAGTATATTCACGTTTGACTGAAAAATTGTGCCGTACACCAGAAATGGACACAACATTGTAAAATGACTAAAACTCAATTAAAAAAATAAATAAAATGCAAAAACAAGAAAACAATGCCCACAATGTGTACTATACAGAATTTAAAAACCAAGATAAAGTTCAACAGTTGTACACAGGTCTAGAGGGATCAGGTTGGAGTTAAAGTATACTAAGATCCTTCTACTATTTCTGAAGAGGACAAAGATAATGATTAACTTTAGGATCTGCTAAGTCTTATGATTTAGTTAAAAATTTTGGATAATTATTAAAAGAACAGGAACAAAGCATGTAACTTCATAGAGGGGGAAATGGAATTTAGTGTGGGGAGAAATTAATCTAAAAACAAAAAGGAGGGAGAGGAAAAAGAAACCTAGAAAAAGTGAATAGATAGAACAAAAATTAGAAGAAATAAACCCAAATATATCAGCTATCACAATCCATGTAAATGGATTAAACTGTCCAGTTCAAGAGCAAAGATTATCAGATTGGTTAAAAAAAATCCAGCTATATTCTGTTTTCAAGAGAAACTCCTGTAACATAAAAATACAAGATTGAAAGGAAAAGGTCAGAGAAAGAGATACCAGATAAATACCAACCAAAAAAAGTTGGTTTAGCTATATTAATATCTGATCAAATAGTCTTGGGCAAAAAGCATTAAGAGATAAAGACGGTATTATCAGATTGTCTTTTGCAAGGATGGCTGCATCTTTGTCCACCCCCCCACCCCCGGCCCACGGTGATCTTCTATAATTTTGTCATTCATCCGCAAAGTCTAAACCCCCTCCCTTTGAATCTGGGCAGATTTGTAAACTGCTTGTAAGTAGCAGAATGTAGGATAAGTGATAAGGTCAGAAAAGAAAATGCACTGTCACCTTGCTCATGGCAAGCCTTGAAAGCTATTGTGTAAGCAGTCCAACTGCCCTTAGGCTGCTACCCTGGGTGGACGCCTCAACTGGCCTACAAAAGTAACCCACAGGACTACCTGAAGAGAGAGAGCCCCCAGCTTCTCCAGCCCTCAGACTAGTCCAGCTTTTATGACTGCAACTGCACGGAAGACTCAGACTGAACCATGAGATAACAAAATGATTCTTGTTTTAAGTCACTACATTTGGGGATGATTTGTTACACAAGAAGAGTGACTAGAACAGACTTACTACATATTATATTAATAAAAGAGTCAATTCACTAAGAAGGTTTTTTAAAAATCATTCTAGACCTAAAAATATAACTGAAAAATATAAAGTGAATTGTGATAAAACTGCAAGGAGAAACAGAGTTCTGGCCTTTGCCCTTGGCTTCTGGGAGATAATCTCTAAACCCATGGAATGTCATGCCTGATAGGAGTGCCTTTGTTTGCCTAGGAGTCTGAAACCAGACAGACAGTAACAGCGTGATTTAGGGTGGGGACTTTGGTTCATGTGATACCAGCTTTGGACTTCCCGAGGGCTGGAAATTGACATCAGCTACACGGGCAGTCAACCCTGTTTATGTGATGGAGCCCCAATAAAGACTCTGGACACCAAGACTTAGGTGAGTTTCCTGGTTGGCAATACTCCGTGCTTAGAGTCACACATTGATACCAGGAAAGTAACACTGTCCTGAGTCTCTGGAGAGAGGATGACTAAGCTCTATGTTTGGTACTTTGCTATACTCTGTCCCACCTGTCTCTTCCCTTGGCTGATTTTAATGTGTATCCTTTCCCTGTAATAAACAGTTAACTGTGAGTATAACAGCTTTCATCAAGTTCTGAAAGTCCTTCTAGTGACTTATCAAAACTGAGGGTGATCTCAGGGATCCTTGAACTTGCGACTGTTATCAGAAGTGAGGGTAGCCTTGTGGTCTGTTCCCTAACTCCACAGTTGTTACACTTTTGCATGACCTGATTTCCATCAAGAATAGAATGGATAAAGTATGGTACATTCTGCATGGCAGTTAGCATGAGTAAACATCCACACAGCAATAGGGATGAATTTCACAAGCATAATGTTGAATGAAAAAAGCCAGACAAAAATGAAAACAGCCTGCAGGGAACTAAGATCTCCGTGAACGTCTCAGTGCTCCTGCGAAAAGCCCTAGCCTCCTCTAACCTTCTTTAAGGGGAGTAAATTGGCACTCATATAGAAAGTTTCCATCGACTCTCATTTCACTGCCTTTGGGTCTAGGTGTGAGGAATTAATGTTACTCTGGCTGTTAATCTGAGTATCAACATAGAGTTCTTTTCCCTGACCCAGAAGTCTCGTGTTTCTGCAATTTTCATATATAAAAATTACTTATTTGTGTGAGGTGGGTAACAACTCTGGCCCTTCACTGTTCTTTAGCTAGCAGACAAAACATGCTATGAGATTAAATTGATATTTTAAATGTCGACTGAAAAAATTGCACAATCTAAAAGTTGAAAATTACGTTTTATTTGGCAGACTTGCTGAGGACGTAAGCCCAGGAGACAGCCTCTCAGATGGCTATGAGGGACTGTCCCAAAGAGGTAAGGGAGAAGCCAGGATATACAGGAGTTTTTGAAGAAAAAAAACAAACCCAGGTAGTCATAATGTCCAAAAATTACTGTTAATTAAATAAAATACAGACATCGCAAGTTAATGAATTTAGTGCTTTTCTATGTGTGGGAAGATGCAAGAGTCTGGGCTCACTGAAATCATTCCTTTGATAAACATCTTAACTATCTAGGACCAGGATCCTGATTTTCTCTATTCCAAATCCCCTCAGGGTGCAGTCTGGGCAGCTGCAGTAGCTGACAATTTGATGGTTACAACATCCTTTGTTTACTGATACAACAGGCAACAATTTTCATTCACACAAAGTTCAAAAATAGGCAAAACTAAGGTATGATGTGGGAAGTCAGATTAATGATTGTTTTTGAGGGACAGGAAGTGGAAGGGTGCACTACCGGGAGGGCTCCTGGGTGCTGGTCATCTTCTGTTTCCTGAGCTGGGTGCTGGTTATATGAGTGTATTTGGTTTGCAAAAAATAATCAAGCTATAAATCTATGACTGGTTGCATTAGTCTAGATTCTCTAAGAGCAGATGCCAAATGGGATAAAATGTGCATAGGACTGACTGGGGAAAATTCTGAGTGTAAAGGGAGAGGGAACCAGAGGAACCAAGCCCTGGTCTTTCATTATCGGTCTGCAGGGCACTCACACAACTTGGCAACAACCAATCCACCTTCTTTATCTTCATAGGCATTGTTCACCACTCTTCAGTATCCTTCAAATACCGCAATCAGTGCACCTGCCACAGACCTTCCCTCCACTCGGATATTTTCCCAGGTCACCACCAGTGAAATCTTTTGCAACTAAGCTGCCACCTTGCACCATGGACTCTCTATGCCCACCTACCAACTGGGCTGGCACCTCTGTGCTTGCCAAGCTGTGAGTGAGCCAGTTTCGGATGCCCATTTTATCACGCGTTTAATGGTCTAAGGACAATTACTAGTACCATTTGTATTACCTATGTTCCGCAGTAAGCAGATGCCAAGACAGGGTGAATGTGCAAAAGTTTTTTGGGAAAACGTCTATGAGGGAAATGGAAGGCAGCTGGAAGCTGGGAAAGCAGGAGTCAGCAATGTAGGTCTGACCCCTGTTCCCTCTGCAGAGGGCCTGAAATGTGCATTTCATGGCTAGCACATTTGTCCACTGTTCTGTACGCCTGTTATATTTCAATAACAAGATCTTCAAAGTCAGTAAGGAGGAAAAATTTAAATAGACAAGGAACAAGCTTAGACTTTTGGACACAGGTAGAACCTTTCACTCAAGGGCTCCTGAGATATTCCTAGGTACCAGGTGCTTCACATGGTCATCTCACTTACTCCTCCCTTGAAATGTGGCTACTGTGATGAAGGGACTTAATTTTTACTTGATTTTATTTTAAATTTACATCGTCACACGTGGCTGGGGGCCATACTGGATGATGCAGGTTAGAGGCTTCATTCTTCATTATTATTACCCCAGTAACAATCCCAACACCTTAATTTTTCCAGCACTTCATGGTTTACAAAGCATTTTACTATATTACTCTTCCATGATCCTCATGGCATTTCTTTTCCAAGAGTCTATGGGGAAATGTAATCTCAGCAATGAACAATGTGAAAAGGAAATTAAGAAAAGTTGCAGTTGTCACCTTTCCCGATTTCAAAACCTACTGCAAAGTGACTGTGAGCAAAACAGTGTGGCATGAGGATATACGTATAGACCAATGGGACAGAATTGAGAGAATGGAAATAAACCCTCAAATATACAGTCAGGTGATTGTTGACAAGTTACCTGTGTCATCATCTTTTTTTCCCGCTCTCTTCAGAGACGATGTTCATACATTTATAAAACTGTTCAATTATCTCGTCACATTATGCATTCCACCCTGGGATTCCGCTGACCCCCAAAGTGTTTTTTTTTTGTTTATCTGCATACATAATTCAGTCTTTGTGCTGTGACATTCTATGAGTTTTGGCAAATGCATAGGGTCATATATCATCCCAGATAGAATAGTTTCATCACCTAAAACACCCCTGTGCTTCATCAATTCAACCCTCCCTCCTCCCTCCCATTGACCTTCTGTCAACCATTGATCTTATAACTGTCCTTAGTTTTCCTTTTCCAGAATGTTATAAAACTAAAATCTTACAATACGTAGTATTTGTAGACTGGCTTTTTTTTTTCACTTAGTAAATATGCATTTAAGATTTTCCATATCTTTTCATGGACGATAACTCATGAAACATACCACTGTGCGTTTACCCATTCATCGATTAAAGGACACCTTGGTTGCTTCTAAATTTTGACAATTATGAATAAAGCTGCTATAAATATTCCCAAGGAAGTTTTGTGTGAACATTTAGTATTCACGTCAATTGAGCAAATACCTAGAAGTGTCATTGTTGGGTTGAATGGTAAGGCCCCATCTATCTTTGTAAGAAATTGCCACACTGCCTTCCAAAGTGGCTGTACCACTATTATCCATTTTTTAAAAACAATTTAAAAATATCTAGATCGACGACTCTATGCAGTTGGTGTTGCCCTCATTTTACACGCGAGGAAGAGAGGTACAGCGAGGTGAAGTGGCCTGTAGCTTGGCAGTAAGACCAGGTGTGTCTGCCTGCAGCCTGGGTTCTTCACCACAATGGTATTGGAGGATCGGTATTTCACAAAGCATTCCGTGAGTGGACGGCTGTAATGGTTAAAAATCTCTTCCCTTCAGCCCGGAATCCGGCGGCGGCGGGAGCGCTGCGAGCGAGAGGTGCGGAGGGGAGGGCGGGCGACTCTGGCAGTGACTGTGGCGGCAGTGATCGCCCCGCTGTGGGAGGCTATGGGAGCGCGCGCATCCTCTGGGTATCCAGCGCGCGGCGGCTCGGAGTGACCTGCCCCGGTGCTGTAGGGACAGGCCATGGAGCAGTTACTCGCTGAAGACCCCCGGGACCCACTGGTCTTGGCCCGTGGCTCGCCGTGCCTCTCCCAGGCTCCGAGGGCGCGGAAGAGGAGCCGTACTCCGAAGCGGGAGTAGCAGCATGGGGACAGGGGGGAGGCGCTGGATAGGCGCGCCGGTGGCTCCCTTGGCTAGGGCTCTGCTTCTGGACGGCGGGCTGCGGCTGCCCGAGGTAAGCGGCGGGCTGAGCGAGCGGGGCGATTGAGCGGGACCTGCAACCATGGCGCTGGCCCCCGAAGTTACACCCTGCACCTCTCCGCGCGCCGAGCCCAACGGGACGGGACTCGGGCGGAGGACCTCCGAGGGGACCACTGCCTCCCACCCCAAGTTCGCGATCATCGTCAATCCTACAGGTTGCTGGGACGGGGCCCCTGCCCTTCCTTTACTCTGGTCGCTTGCTCCATTTTCCAAGCCCTCCCCAACTGCTGCAGACTGGAGTCCCCACCTCTTCACTCCAGTCTCGCTCTCCCCAGACCTCTCCACTTTCTTCCGAGGCTAGATCGTTCGTGGATGGGCGTCTGTAGGGGTGTCTGAGAGTTCCTGGGGAGAGGGGCCGGCTGATGGGAGTCTCTGCAGGGGAGGCTTGACTAGAGAGGGTGCCTTTTCCCTTCGGTAAGCAGCATCCAGGCTGAAGTCCTCCAAGCTTGACACCCCTCCAGCGACACCAGCCTGAGGTCCTAGGCAGCAGTGGGCTTCCTTTGGAGGAGGCCGTGTGTGTACGGGGAGCTCGGGAGAGCTGCGTGCACCATTCGCTTTTAACTGCGCCTGCAGTGCCCAGCCGGGTCAGCAATTGGTCCCAGGCGGCTCACCCGGAGCCTCCTCTCCCTGCCCGGTGCCCGACCCAGCTCGCGAAAGCGGTGTCCGCTGAGCGGCAGGGAAACCACTGCTTCTTTCTGACTTAGAAACGTAGACCCCATTTTTCTTGGATCCTCTGGATTCCAGAAGAGTGAAATTTTGCAGCTGGTTTCAGCTCCACCTTGAGTGAAGACAGAGCACATCAACTTAAAGATAAAACCCGCAGACTTGTTTTGAAGATGATCAGAGACAACGTGACATATAGCTTTACCATGGAAATCGTCAGGGAGCTTCTCCTTCCCGCTCTTCTTTACCTTTTCCTGGGTGTCATACATTAGGCTTAGCATTTGTAATTGCATCAAATGATTCACCTAATGCTTGTCTGGCGAGAGGTGAAATTGATCTTTCCACCTCACCTCTGCTCTGCTGGCTACCTTGAACATATTGTGAGTAGCTAGGAGACAGAAAAGGGCAGAAAGGGGAGAGGACGATCAGAAATGAACCAATATAATCTCATTTTTATAAAAAGCTACCAGTGTGTTAAAAGGAGTTGTGCTGTCTGAAATGAACAATTTAAAAAAAGATGGATAGAGGCTTTCCCTTTTATGATCCTATTCAGTGGCTATTTACATTTCATTTCCTGTGAAGTTTTTCACCCCCCACAATGGAGCAGGTTTTTTAAAAAGCAGGAAAGGTTTAAAAATGAGCTTCAGGGATTGACCACACTAGGTTACAGTGAAGCAGAGTTCTTTTGCTTGCTGGAAGAAGCACCAGCTTCAGCCATTTATTTTACTACAGAGGATGCCTCCTTGCAAAGTCAGCTCTGAGTTGTTTTTAATACACTGTCATGGGGGAAAGGGGGCCTTTTCTTTTCTGAATGTTGAGCTAAATGTCTGAGTCCCAACTTAACTGTTCTCTGCTGAATACCTAATGGTGATTGACTCCCTGTCCTGACCCCTGGAATTTGGTTGATGGGGCTGTCTTGAAGCCAGCTTGAAACCAGAGTGAAGGGGACCTGCCAAAAGCCTCTTAGATGGAGCTTTGCTGGCTGTGAAACTAAGGCTAGCACCTCTTGTCTGCAAGCTGTTCTTCAAAGGACTCCTAGAAAACATACTGCACACTCTGCAGGCTTATTTACAACAAATGTCTTGCACAGATCGTAGTAATGTTCAGGACACATGGAATGGAGCAGTACATCTGACTAATATTTCCCATGTAATATTTTACTTTCTGGGGCAGGAAGCCCATGACCCTTAGCATCTGTCAGAGATTCCCCAAGAAAGGAACGGTAAGCAGCCTGGAAATCTTGAGAAGCCCATGCACCTGGCTTTGGACAGTTGGATGCAATGGGAGTTTTCAGAACAAATGGTGTGTTTCAATGTTCCTTAAGTTCTCCCAGCCCAGGAAGGTTCCCATTCCTTAAAAGCCAGAAGAGGTGCACTCTGGGGACATGTTTGCTGAGTAGTCTTACCACACTCTCAGCGTTGGCCCTACATTGTTCTTACATATGCAAATAATTTTTTTTTTGTTCTGAAAAATAAAAATCTCTTCCCTTTACAGAACTAAAATCTGCCTCACTTGGTCCTGGAGTCACATTAACAGTTTCCACAAAACAGAGAGAAGGGAACTGAGTGTTGGGTGCCCCGGCCTGTCCACAACTCATTAGGCAGTGGCATGTGATTTCAGCAGCAGGCCCTGCGACAAGGCTGCCTAGTCAAAAGTCCGTTTTCTACTACTCATCAGCTGAGTGACCTTTGGGTGAGTCTCTTCCCTTCCCTGAACCTTAGTTTCCTCACCTATAATACCTGGTACCTATTTTGAGTTCCAGACCTGAAAGTACAATTACTTTCCTAGACACCTCCACCCGTGTCTTTCACTGACCCCTCCAAATCAACATGAGCAAAACAGGGTACCTCCTGTGCAGAACCAGCTACAAGATTTGCAAGGGCGCAGCGTGAAATCAAAGTGCAGAGCGCCTTCTTAAAACATTAGGAAGAATTCAAGACAGCAGTGGAGCAGTAGATCAAGCACAGGGCCATGGGTGACTGGGCCGGCCAGGTCACACGCCCCATGACATTGGCCTTGCTCCTGTGTTCCTTTGATGAACCAGCCACTGCTGTCCCCTTAGGTCCTTCCCTCTCCTCTTGCCCGGTCACACCCTCCATGCTCCCATCATAATGGACTTCTGTCATTCTCTGAATGTCCCAAACTTTTGCCTCTGGCCTGGATAATCTTTCTCCTTTCTCTTTGCCAGCCCCTCTCCTTTTATCCTCAGATCGTTTCTGAAACACTGCACGGTCTTCTGCTGTGAGCACCACATGACCCTAGTTTTCCTCACACCTCTCTGGCAAATTCCTTCCAAGTCTTCACAAGCTCGCTGTCCCCAACCTGGTTTTCATTTTACTCCATTTTTCATTGTTTGTAGAATCACTAGGTTTTTATTTTGTTTTAGCTTTAATTGAAAGTAGATAATAAAAAATGCATTGTTCAAAACAAGCACGTTAGTCACTGCTTAAAGTCTGTATCCGTCTCTAAAGGGTAAGTTCTATGACCATGAACTTGGGTCCGGTCTCATTCACAAGGACCTCAAATTTAAAATTTAGAGGCAATCTCCAAATGGAGTTGAGAGGCCTGAAGGAAGAAAACATCAAACAACCTTACAAAATTTTGTCTACTTCCTAGACCACACCACCTTGGTGTGACTATTTGTATAAATCTTGTAATTATCCTTTGAGGAACACAATAAGGAATCTGCGTACATATATTAAAAGCTCAAACGCGTTAAACGTACGTTTAAAAATACACCACGAATTCTGTAACTCTACTTGGCGTTTCGTCAGTTTTCAACCTACCGCTAAGGCTCAGAAAGTAAGTGGTCTCTCAGGCCTCTCCACCTATGTGAGGATAAAAGCCTGCTTTTGCTCTATTTATTCCAGTATCAGCGAATGGACCAAAGGAAAAGCCAACGGCCAGCGGCGAATCGAGCGCAGCCTCCCTTACCGCCCCTGGTGGCCGCTTCTCAGTCAAAAGAACCAGGTTCCAACGACACCAGCAACCGTTTCCGTGGCAACGCAATTCACGCGGCCTCACTGAGGAGTGCGGCTCCTCTCTGCATCCCAGAAGGCGCTGCGCTGCCTCTAAGCCTTCCGCCCCCTTCCATCCCAACATGCAATGGGGCTCATGACGTCAAACGTTCGTTATCAGGATGATTATAGAAATGCCTGAATAGCCGCCTTCGCTTAAACATTAAAAATGTACGTAATAAGCTCATGTGTAAGAAAAGTCCCAAAGAGCGGCCTTAGTGATTTTTTCCAGAGGTTTTAGTTTTAAATCTTGACAAGAAACTCCCATCTTTCCCTAGATTCTCTCAGGCACCTCCTTGGGCAGCCCGCGCAGGCCGGCAGCGTTGGGGACCTCGGGGTCCTAGGCAGGGCACATGCGGGGGAAGTGGCGCTGTCTGTCCGCGCGGCGGTTGTAAACCCTTCAGCGTGGAGCCATGGGAGGCCTAGAGAAAAAGAAGGTGAAGAGCGAGAGGCCTCGGTGGGAGTGTCGGTAGGGGGGTGCTCCGGGATGTAAGAGACAGGACCAGCAGAGCCTGGGGACTGCTCCTTTCCCCAGCCTTGGTCCCTCGTAGGTGTAGAAGCGGCTGGGATCAATGCGACATGAGACAGTAGCCAGAAGGGGTCCAAAGGTGGGCGAGGGCGGCAGTTACTCCTCCGGTGAAATCCAGGATAGAATTCTAGAGTAGAGCTGTGTAAGAGAGTTGAGGTTACCAAGCAAAGCTGCACGCCCCCAGTCAGGCCGAGCCAAAAGACCGTTTACTGAAAGACTGATGAATATTTCGTAGAGCCCACCATGATGTCCATTTTATCATTTCTAAAACTTGTTACTCCCTTTTCTACTGAACCAGGCCCTGTCCTAGACACGGGGGATGGAGACATAAACAATCAGATGTGGTCCCTGCATTCCCCAAGCTCATTTTCTGGTGGGGGAGATGGACAGTAAAGTAAGCAATCAGATAAGATGATCACTGACAAGCCTGGCAGGGGAAACTAAGTGCCAGGAATCTTAGTTGGGAAAGGGTCGCTGTGTGCAAGGAATCGGAAGGACGTCAGGATGGCTGGGGTATAGTAAACCAGGGGAAGAATGGTATCTAGTGTGGTTGGGGTTGGACAAGGACCAGGTCATACAAGGCCTGTCAGGCACAGTGAGGAGATTGGCTTTTATTCAAAATGCAGTAGGAATCAACTACTTCTAAGTGCTTCGCATAGCACCAGATCCACAGCAACCCTGTGGTCCCTGAATCATGCAGATGTATGTGTCCTCTGTGCTGACAGCTGAAGATAGTGCAGGAGAGCTCCTTCAGGCATGTGGGCTCCCTCCCCATGGTGTTTTTTGTCCCAGGAGCCTTTTCGCCACTTATCCAAGGTGATAGTTGCCTCTGGCATGAGGAATATCCAGAGATTGCTGTCTATCACTGCAATCATTGCTAATGGAGAATTGTTTTTTTTTCCTCCCCAAGTATGAGCGAGGCTCTGCCACCAACTACATCACCCGAAACAAAGCCCGGAAGAAGCTGCAGCTCAGCCTGGCCGACTTCAGGTGAGGTTGGAGAGGAGAGGGGGACCTCTGGATGCCTGGGCAGTGCATTACGCAGCTAAAACTCAGCCACACCCCTGTCTAAGCTGCACTGCTACAGACTCTGTTTGGGATTCTGATGTTCCTCCTCTTTCTTGCCTGGCCTTGCTTTGGTGAGCTGTGCTTTGCCAACTGTGGTCCATGGGGAATCTGGAGCACTGGGTCATGCTGCCCTTAGTCATCAGAATGGACCTGCTGGTACTATGCACTCTCCCCCATCCTCTCCCTTCTGGCAGTAGAGACCCCTTAATCTTGCAGCTGGGGGTTCTCAGCACCTCAGAGAGTGAAGTCCAGACTCCTCCACAGCCTGTGGGTCCTACCGCCTGGCCCACTTCTCATCTTCCAAGCATACCCAGCACTTTCCAGTCTTACTGCCTTTGTCCTTCTGAGGATGCTCTTCCCTCTGCCCTTTATAGGCAGACCTCAGAGATACTGTGATTTGGTTTCACTGCAGTAAAGTGAATGTCACAGTGAAGCAAGGCATGTGAATGTTTTGGTTTCCCAATGTGTAAGAGTTATGTACTGTATTATATACTGTACCATAGTCTATTAGGTGTGCAACAGTATTATGTCTAAAAAGCAATGTCTTAACTTAAAATATTTTGCTGGTAAGAAATGCTGATCGTTTTCTGAGCTTTCAGGGAGTCATCATCTTTTTTTACTCTTGGAGGGTCCTGCCTCGATGTTGATGGCTGCTGAGTGATCAGGGTGGTGGTTGCTGAAGGTTGGGCTGTGAGTGACAACTTCTTAAAATAGGATAACAATGAAGTTTGCCGCATTGACTGACTCTTCCTTTCATGAACGTTTCTCTGTAGCACCCAGTGCTGTTTGATAGCATTTTACCCATAGTGGAGCTTCTGTCAAAATTTGACTTAATCCTCTTCAAACCCCACTGCTGTTTTACCAACTAAGTTTACATAATATTCGGAATCTTTTGTTGTCATTTCAACAGTCTTCACAGCTTCTTCACCAGGAGTAGATTCCATCTCAAGAACCTCTGTTCATCCTTAAGAAGCAGCTCCTCACCTGTTAAAGTTTGATCATGAGGTTGGCGCAGTTCAGTCCCACCTCAGGCTCCACTTCTGGCTCCAGTTCTCTTGCTATTTCTACCACATCTGCAGTGACTTCCTCCACTGAAGTCTTAAACCCCTCAAAGTCACCCACGAGGGTTGGGAGCAACTTCCTACAAACTCCTGTTAATGTTGATATTTTGACCTCTTCCTTTGAATCATGAATGTTCTTAATGACCTCTAGAAGGGTGAATCCTCTTCAGAAGGCTTTCAATTGACTTTGGCCAGATCTGTCAGAGGAATCACTATCTATGGCAGCTACAGCCTTATGAAATCTATTTCTTAATTAGTAAGACCTGAAAGTTGAAGTTAGTCCTTGATCCACAGACTGCAGAATGGATATTTTGGTAGCAGGCATGAAAACAACCTTGCAGTTTCTATATCAGTATTTGCTGCTCACCCTTCTCCTCATGAACCAATCTCAGCTGGCATCACACTTTTTCCTGCAGCTTCCTCACCTCTCTCAGCCTTCATAGAATCAAAGAGAGCAGGGCCTTGCTCTGGATTAGGCTTTGACTTAAGGGGATGTTATAGCTCATTTGATCTTCTGTCCAGTCCACTTAAACTTTCTCCATATCAGCAATAAGGCTGTTTTGCTTTCTTACCATTCATGTGTTGACTAGAATAGCATTTTAAATTTCCTTCAGGGGCTTTTCCTTTGCATTCACAACTTGGCTGACTGTGGTGCAAAAAGCCTAGCTTTCAACCTGTCTTGGCTCTCAATGTGCCTTCGTCACCAAGCTTAATCATTTCTAGCTTTTTATTTAAAGTAGGGGACGTGTGACTCTTCCTTCCACTTGAACACTTAGAGGCTGTTGTGGGGTTATTTATTAGCCTAATCTCAATATTGTGTCTCAGGAAATAGAGAGGCCCAAGGAGAAGGAGAGAGATGGGAAAGGCCATCAGTGGAGCAGTCAGAACACACACAACATTTATTGATCAAGTTCACCATCTTATATTTGCGTGATTCATGGAGCCCCCAAAATTATTATAACAACAATTTCAAAGATCACAGATCACCATACCAAATACAATAATGATGAAAGAGTTTTGAGATATTGTGAGAATTACCAAAATGTGATACAGAGACGTGAAGTGGGCAAATGCTGTTGGACAGTGGTGCCAGTAGAGTTGCTCAGCGCAGGGTTGCCTCAGACCTTCAATGTATAAAAAAAAAACTCCATAAAATGAGGTATGCCTGTATGTGGCCAAAATGTTGATTTCTCAGGGAGACTTTTCCTGACTCCTCTTGCTGAAGGGAGTGCCTGCCGGTGTGGCCCCTGGCAGTATCCTGATGTTTCTTTCTGGTACTCAGGACAGTCTGCACTCTGTTTTTCAGGGAGCTCATGATTATCAGACTCTTGCACCAGGATGGGAGTTCCTTAAAGTCAGGGCGCCCATGTTCTGTGTTCCCTGCTATTTCCAGGCCCCACATGGCCAGCACTCAGCACAGGTACTGACAGAAGGAATGGCCTTTGTTTTTCAGACGGCTGTGCATCTTGAAGGGCATTTATCCCCATGAACCCAAACACAAGAAGAAGGTTAACAAGGGCTCCACGGCAGCCCGAACCTTTTACCTTATTAAAGACATCAAATTCCTCCTCCATGAACCCATTGTCAACAAGTTTCGGGAATACAAGGTGAGGCCTGGGCTCTGGGGGTCTGGGTGGGGCCCTTCGCTGCTCTGTGCAGCCCCACTAACACTGACCTTGGGCAGATTGTTTAAACTCTGAGCAAGCCTGTGTGAAGGGTGAGGTAATTCTACCTCAAAGGGATTGACTGAGATCTCAGGTGTGCAGATCATTTCCACGGGACCTGGCCAATGGTTAATGTTTCACCTGTCATACTTTCCCCTGGTTCTTTTGGAAAAGAGTAAATTTGTTGCCTCTGAAACAGATTGTGGTCTTTCAGGGGTTCTCTGGTTAGTTTTTCTTTTTTTTTTTTTTTTTTAATTTGGTAGGTTGTCGTGGGTAGTTGTAACCCGACGGTACCTCCACACCTAACTAGT